CTCCTCAAGGGACTTGATGTAGGCCACCGTGCTGAGGCTGAGACTAAGGCCCTCACCAACTAATTCGAGAGTTCTTTTCTTATCAGAACGATCAGAGTGAGTCTAGAAAGCTGCCATAATCATCATTATACTCATCCACCTCTTTCCGAATCCTCTGTACTCTATTCAGATTGACATCCAAACTCTCGTTCGTATTGGAGCTTCCGGTGCGAATGCCAACGAATACAACATGCCGGTTCCAAATTTCTGGTGTAATAAATTGCTCCATTGTGCTCTTTTTCTCACAGGCGGTGCCTTACCGACCCTACTATACTGTGCAGTCGACAAATTCAAAAACAAAGAACGCGCATGCGCGTAATTAAAAAATGGCGACAATTGACCCATTGCGTCGTGAATATTTATTGTCCACAACAGGACGTCATTTGGTATCGCCGTCTGGCTTGCGTGCCGAGATAGGTAGATTGCCAAAGAGCTGCTTTTTTTTGTAGGTTGCTGTTTCAATTATAGATTCAATGTAGTCAACACGTAGCAGCAATTGTGTATGTCTCATTTAGTTTCCTTTTTAATTATATTTTTTAATGTTCATGCGGTGCTAACATAGTGCAGATACTGATATGGTTCGGATGAAGTTTCGTTTTCTGAATACTACAGCTTTGTTAAAAGACGACACTTTGATCGACTAAGCGTTTCTCTTGCTTAAAGTGGATCACTGAATATAATTCCACGCTTTTCCAGCAACTCTAATTAAACAGTCATTCCTGCAAAGGACAAACAACAGGAAAGAAATTAATGATACATCAAATGCGACCATAATGAGTAACTGAAGGGCTTTTCCATTAATAATTCAAGTAAAATTTTACGGTATTAATGAAACGGAATTATTAATCAAGCAGGTATTAAATTCATTAGTAAAATTGACAGAAGATAACTCACAGCTAAATGAATCACTGTCACAAAGGCAAATGAGGCATGCTCCCCATATTTGAAAGTAATATCAAGAGAGATATTCCATTAAAGATATGAAATATGCAGACTGACTTTTAAAAAAAAATCTATACTCTACCTACAAAACTGAAACACATTTTAATGATTTTCAAACAATGTGAAATACCCACACTCCATAACAATATAGAGAGACACACCTCATTTTTAAAATAATATGAAAAGTCAGTGTTCTTAAGACGAGACCAGCTGATCTCAATGTGATGAGATATTTCCCTTAACTGTATGATGAGATACGCTCTTTTCATTTTGAAACAGTATGAAGAGATACACTCTCTTTAATACTATCAGATTTTTTAAAAATATTATTTCACCCTAAGCAAGACAATAATTCTACTAATACACAAATGGTTGCTGGGAGTGAAAGAGAATGAGAAAACAGTGAGAAGAAAGTACAATAAAAGAACATGTTCGAGGAAGTCTGAAGATGGCGGCTGGCGTTGTATAGAAATTTTTGAAAATTATATTGTCAGAAACAAGGAAGATTTCTACATAATTACGTGGGAGGAAGCTATTAGAATAGAACTTAGGCTTGCGTTAAACAGTGACACTTAGTTGCCAAATCTAGTACTGCGCTTAAATTCACGCAGTCGCGTTAGCAAAGGGGAAAGCTCATCAGAACAAATTCCATCTAAATATTTATAGAAAAGTCAGCAGTAAGTCACATCATGGCTTTGGGAAACTGACTCACATGATTTATTAAGAGCGATTTAATTAAGCCAAATATTCGACCGCTGACTCCATAGCCCTTGAGGAGACCAGCACGCTAAAGCTTGTCGAAGGTCTTCAGGTTGCTTGAAGCTATATAGGCCGAGTGTTGCTCTTCTTATCTAAAACCAATCTCTTTGTATTGAAACAATATGAAAAACAACCTCTTTAACAATATCATTAAACTTTTTTATACTGCAAAATGATGTGATGAGATACACTTTTTAAACAATGTCATTAGACCTCCCCTTTATTTTAAAACATTATAAAGGGAAAAGATGAAGGGGGAAAATTTTCCTTATTTTTTAACAAAATAAAGAGACATTCTCTTATCGATATAATGTAACATTTTTTGTAAATTGTAAAAATCTTTGCAATGCGATGTGAGACATTTTATTTATTTTGAAACTTTTAAACACACTCTCCATAACGTTAAGCAGTATCGAGTTCCGTATTCATTTATATACAATTTCAAATATGTTTCAGTTTTAAGTAACTCAAAAAGATATATACGGTTGATAAGCCATAAAAAAAACAAATCAACAAAAAAAAAACTCTCCTCAATATAAGGAGACGCGCTCACCTCATTTTATGAGAATTTTGAAGATTTTTCATGTTGCTTAACTATATGATGAAACATCCTCATCCCACGTTGAAACAATATGAAAAGATGAACTTTACTCAACATTATGATGAAGCATATGGTCCTTATTTTACAGATATAAAAAGATACAACCCCCTTACAATACGATGAGGCAGGCACTCCTTTTTAAAACAATATAATGCGACACATTCTCTTTGCCTCTATAAAGAGACACATTCTTATTAACTCTCCGACAGATGCTAATGTATAGACTATATATGAAGATAAGCGAATGTGTTAGATTTAAAAGATAAACAAAAATGAATGGATGGCTAACTCGTTGAAGAAAAGTGTTATATACCCTACCTATGAACACTAATGAGTATATCCCAATCCACATAGATACGTTGGACTTTATTGTAAGTGCGGGTAATATGCTAAGTAGTCCACCACTAGCAGTGGTTTACCTATTTCACGCCGCTGGCGAGTATTGTATTTTGTTGATGTTATAAAGATTACCATTTCCAACCTCCGTTTTGGTTATCCCTCATTCAGTATTTGCTAGGTTACAAAAAAAAGTGACCTCGAAAAGATCATATGCTAGAATTTTGCCCCAAAGCACACCTCTAATCTCATATGAGTCCAAGGCAAAAAGACATACGAGGGCAAGTCAATAATTATCCGCACTTTAGCTATAACATACCTTTAGGTTTCTTACACTGTTTTCTGCTCCTGCGTCCTTATAGTTGGTACTATTGTGGTAAGATGATCAAAATTTGAGCTAGTTTTCTTGCCGCTGTTACAGTGTAAACATGGCCGCTCCGATTGCAGTGTGCACCTAGACGAAACAAGAAGCAGTGATCCGAATCTACAGAGAATATGCTACCTCGTCGATGATAACTCGCCAGTTCGCCATTAAGATCTGTCGAGGTTGCTGGATTTTCTCGTCTGAGTTGGAGGCTGACGGACACCCTGCTTCTTTTTCGAGCGTCCTGCTTCTCCGGCGACTTTTAAACTTCTCGATCCACTCACACACATTTCCATGTAGCAGTGTACTATCGCCGTATTGTGTTAAAAGCCTCCGATGAATTCACCTTCTGACAAGAAATCTATCGTGGTCACATCATTTGAGCTTTGGTTATCTTCTTGCTGTTACAGTGTAAACATGGTCGCTCCGCTAGTAGTGAGTACCAAGAAGGAACGAAGAGCAGTGATCCGATTTCTCCGGTCGGGAGGTATATCAAGGACTGAAATTCATCGGAGGCTTTTAAAACAATACGATCAAACTTCAATTGATCAAACTTCGATCAAGTGACTTCAATAGAACCAACTATCACCATCCATAAGCAGAGTGACAAACCTCAAGATATGTTGTGATGAAAGAGCTGATAGGTCTTGAGTCACACTCGTATAACAACCTTATTCTCTCAGAAAGGATTTCATTAGGTCTTGATTACAAACAAACCATTTTTGATTTATTTATTATCGCAAAATTGATAAAAGTGTATTATATGCACGGGTTAAATTCTTTCTTTGAGAATAAAATCAAACTTGACTTGGACAAGGAAATACAAATGATATACCCCATAATCAAAGGTAGATGGCCAGATATAGTCATCGTAAAGAAACGAATTTGTCAGTTATTACATAACTCTGTCAGAGAAAACGACAAAACAATAAGTAAATGTAAGTGAAAGAATACAAAGTCTGAAAATATAGCAATTGAAGGTGACATTTTGGCTCGTCATTATTGGAGAGCTTGGAACAATCTCAAAGAGACTTAAAAAAAAAACTGGAAAAACTTGAATCCCAGTATTATCTAGTACAAACCAGAAAATAGCTTTTATGATTAACTGCTGTTATAATGAAAATAACTTTAAAGTAGTAAAGTGACCCGTCGATAATTGATCCCTAATATAAGCCATATTCCCTTAATAAACTAGAGCACACTTAATGTTTTATTGTTCCTTGTTCAGTCCCTTTTGCGATAGCTTTTGAGTATTTCCTCTTTAATCCTTAGAAAATACCGGAAACGCCAGTTAAAAGGAGAGATTAAGGTATGCCATTTCTCCTTCGCCAGTCTTCCAAATTCTTCCCCAGAAACGATCGCCACTTCAAGGTACTGACTCCGGAAACGCTTCTCTCTCGTGCATACGTGTTTCTCTTGACAGTCAGATAAACATCTTTCGGCTATCGATAAACCTGTAGTGTAGTTATAGTAAAAGGTAGCGAACAATAAAGGCGTTGTAATAAGTTAACAGAACAAACGGCAATTTAATACTTATTTGCAAGCACAATGGTTGTAAATATAGTTGTAGCATAAAAAGAATAATAACAACATTAGACATTGAAATAATATCCAAGAATATTTAAAGAGATATCAATTTTTTTAGCCAACTCTAAGTTCAGAGGAAACAACCAAATTCGCGTTGGTGTAAAATATATGATGGTAGGGGTTGGAATAAAATCAGCGGGGACGTTTTCCAGAAATTAATAAACGGTGTAAGTTAAAGATTATTCCAGCCTCGAATAAGCAACTTCGTTATTTAAACAAAAAGCATTAGTTTTCTCTTTTATTCTTTACTAGTATTACAGCCATATCACGTTGAGAAACCGGTCAGATCACCGACGTCAAGCAAAGTAAAGAGTTTTTCATTTTGTAGATAATAATGGTTTAGTGATGCAAAACTTACTAATTAACAAATAGCTATCCATCTTTCTTCTCATTCTTCTTCTTCTTCTTCTTCTTCTTTTCCTTCTCATTCTTCTTCTTTCCGCCTCGTTCTTCGTCTTCTTCTTCTCATCCTCGTTCTTCACCTCCTACTCCTCTTTCTTCTTCTTCTCCTCCCCCTCCTTATCATCCTCCTTGTTCTTCTTCTTCTTCTTCTTCTTTTTTTCTTCTTCTTCTTCTTCTTTCCGCCTCGGTCTTCGTCTTCTTCTCATCCTCGTTCTTCACCTCCTACCCCTCTTTCTTCTTCTTCTCCTCCTCCTTATCCTCCTCCTCGTTCTTCTTCTTCTTCTTCTTCTTCTTCTTCTTCTTCTTCTTCTTCTTCTTCCATTGATTTCTGGTGTATACTTATTTCTTTCAGGTCCCAACAACAGTTCTAACGTTAGAAATGGCAAGATGACATTTGCCACTGAGATGTTTCGAAAAAAAAATCACACATATTTTATATAGATAAAGCCCTTCGTAAGATGTGGGCTGTACTTGTGAGAACAATTTTCCCCCTTATTTTTCGACATATTTTGTGACTATTTTTAATGGTACATTGCAATTTGGTTTAACCGCCATATCAGTTATTCAGCAAATTTTATAGTCTTTGCTGATTATGTCAATCCGATTATCTTTTATTCGTTATTATTATTATTATTATTATTATTATTATTATTATTATTATTATTATTATTATTCCTCCTTTGATTTCTGTTATATACTCATTTTCATCTGGTTCTCAAACACGGACCGATAGTCAGAAAGATCATTACATTTCTCAACTGAACATATTTGTAAAAAAACAAAACAAAAAACAAGCTTAAAAATCAGCGTAAAATCACACATTTTACATAGATAGTAAATAGTACTTCGTAATGTGTGAGCTGTACCTTTGTGTATAATTTTCTGTATTTAAGGCATGGTCTACCAGGCATACGTTTAATGAGTCTATCATAACCTTTTCCAATCAAGCTGGGAGCTCCAACGATGACTGGAATTATTGATATCCTCTTATGCTTCATTTCTGAGATCTGTATTTTAAGATCCTTATATTTTATTTGCACTTTGAAGATCTTTCGAGGTACGTTACTGTGATGCGCATTCTGATTTTGTGGTCTTTGATCACTACGTCTGGGCGATTAGCTTTAATTGTTCTGTCTCTTCGGATATTGAAAAGTCCCATAAAATTGTTCCAAGTCCAATGTCTTTAACGGGGACTGGGTAGTGTTCATACCGATTTCAAGCATTTTCCTTCCCGTAAAACTTGTCAATTTTCCAGTGCAGATATTGGCAAAGTTTTATATGCAGAGTTTTATATTCGGTTGATTCTAATACTGTGCAACATGATACAATGTAGTCAATTTCGTTTTGCTATTTATCACAGAATTTGCATTTCGGTTTAACACAATTTTTAAGTATTGGTAATTTCTAGTTATTATTATTAATAATAATAATATTAATAATAATGTTTACAGTAATTATTATTGTATGTATAGCTGGCCACTCTTATTCGAGGATACCTGTCTACTAGGGTGGCTAGGCAATCCCTACTGCAGACGGAGGCACATTTTTGTTACTCAGCACCCACAGAGTCAATCTGTGGTTTATATTGCAACTATGCTGAGCAGACCTTAGTTACAGTTTCTGGGAAAGAGCGTGTTATCTAGCGTGATCAACAATTTGAACAAGGCCTCAGTCACGTTGACTTGTGTCTTCGTGCTAGTACAGCTATCGACGGTCTCCCAAGGGTTCCGTCTACCTGCTTTCACTCACAAGGCTTGAGTCAACCCGTGGTATGGTTTTCAGGCACTTTCCCCTCCAACCGGATAGCATCAGAAAGTCTCCTTCCTGACAAATCGGCCATCGTGAGATTCGAACCAGGGTCAGAACGCGAACCTTCTAAACATTCGGCCACATGCACATTATTATTATTATTATTATTATTATTATTATTATTATTATTATTATTTTAAACATTAAACAATTATTCAAATACTCCTCTCATGGCCAGCGTTATGTAGCTTAGTCGAGTGTAGAAAATTCAAGTGAACTTGACATAATGATAAAAAGAACTTTAGAAAATAACTTAGTGGATATACTGAAAATCTAGTTTATACAGAAATCTTACATAGTTAAAGGAACTATGAAAACTTACTTTTCTCCGTTTGCTGGGCTGATTTTTTGATATATAATTTAAATCTTTTCAGTTATCTCAGCAGTTATATTTTTGTCTAATATAAAACCAAATCTATGAATATTATACACGTTTTGTTTGCTGCGCCATATAGCTTGTTAGAAAGCATAAATTAAATGACATTGTTTAACACTCGCTGTCGAAAATACTTTCTTTCTGAGAATGTTTCTGTAAACAAGACACGATTTCGGTATTTTATGTAAAGCCAAAACTTTGCTTCTCATTCAATGAACTTTTTCATCCAACAAATCCTGCCTGCAAATGTAAAGCAACTTTTATTCAGACCAGGCATACGTAAAAGGAATCTGATGAAAAAAAAAGTGTACAGATGACTGACTATGACATTATATGAGCGAACAGGATTTTTTTTTTATTTAATGAAATGAAATCTCAAAAATTCACTTTTAAATTTGCCATGATTTGCAAGTATGATTTGGCATATAAATTGGAAGAATATGCCTAAAACATGCGACGAGAAATGTTTAATTCATTGACATCGTTAAGTTTGAAAATTCGTTGCAAAAACAAACAAACAAAAACAAAAAAACAGGAAATATTTGCAGTGTCTTCATTATTTTAGTTTCTTTCCGATTCATACATTTCTTCATGTGAGATTTTCATTATTTTTTATAACTTCGTTGTTGTTTTGATGAACGCATCTAAGAAGCCATTTGGACCTAAACTGTTTCGTACATTTTTTTTTAACAGAATGTGTATGTAAATATAGATAGATGTAAATATACTTCCACCCTATTTACAGGTCCTGCCTCCCAGTGAAACATACATTCTTTGAATTTATTTAAAGATTAATGAGATATACTAGATAAGATTGCAACATATAAAATATATAATAATAATGTAATATTAGGACATAAAGCAGGTCTTTGTTATTATGTATGTTTGTATCGATTTCAATCTTTTTTCTATTTCTCTCTGCCTATCTTTCTCTACCTATTTCTATCGATATCTACCTATATCTATCGCTCTCTCTCTCTCTTTCTATCTATCTATCTATCTATCTATCTATCTATCTATCTATATCTATCTATCTCCATAGCTTTCACTCCATGTATCTCTCCCTATTTCTATCTATCTATCTATCTATCTATCTATCTATCTATCTATCTATCTATCTATCTATCTATCTATCTATCTCCATAGCTTTCCTCCATGTATCTCTCCCTATTTCTATCTATCTATCTATCTATCTATCTATCTATCTATCTATCTATCTATCTATCTATCTATCTATCTATCTATCTCTATAGCTTTCACTTCATGTATCTCTCCCTATTTCTATCTATCTATCTATCTATCTATCTATCTATCTCAATTCATATCCTTCTATATTTGTATATTCATATCTATCTATCTATCTATCTATCTATCTATCTATCTATCTATCTATCTATCTATCTATCTATCTCAATTCATATCCTTCTATATTTGTATATTCATATCTATCTATCTATCTATCTATCTATCTATCTATCTATCTATCTATCTATCTATCTATCTATCTATCTCTTTTCCTCTATCTCTATATCCCTATCTCTATCTCTCTCTCCCTATCTCTATATCTCTTCCTATCTCTCTTCCTATCTCTATCTCTCTTCATAGCTTTCACTCCCTGTATCTCTCTCTCTCTCTCTCTCTATCTATCTATCTATCTATCTATCTATCTATCTATCTAGTGAGTGTCAAATTTTCCAGATTCTCTTTCCTCGTTATATTCCTTAAAAATTTAAACATTCTCTTTTTCTGATGTTAATTATAAGTGTCAATTTTGTTTCCATTTTTTTCTCAAATTCACCACTGTTCACATGTTTGGTCCATGGTATTTTCAGCATCCTTCTGTAGAACCACATTTCATTTGTTTCATGTCTCTTTTTCATCTGCAAGGAAATTGTCCAGTATTCACATCCTTGTCTTAAACTGTTTTCTATTTGTGTATATATACTGCCTTCATTTTCTGTCTACATGTAGGAGGTTTGCACACAGTATTAGTTTTGGATTATTCTAATATCCTTTCCAAATCTATCAACGCTGCCTAGCAGTTACAATTGATCGTTTTTATGATAAGAATCAGTCAAAAATCCATGACGCCTAGTTTAATTATCATGAATTTACGGTCAGAAATAAAACATTACTTTGAAAATGCAATTGCGAAATTAAAAAAAAAAAAAAGAAAAAGAAAAAAGGAGGCTAAAAATATCAAAGGGCTATAATTGATTATCAATAAAAACAAATTTAATCTCGGCTTGAATATTTTTAATATCTTTGAAACGTAATTTTAATTTTTTTAAGCGTCCCTAAAATCAACTTAAAAACTGTGAACCCATGTACATATTTAATGTAAATTCCAGACCGTTAACAATATGAACACTACAATGGCAGTCTTTCGACGATCCAACTTATTTTCTAAGTAAGTTTCCAATGAGTGTTAAAAGTACTCGAGACATAAAACAATATTTCACTAAATCATTTTACAGGTTTTTACATCAGGAGTAGAGACTTATCCTGTATTTCCTGTTTAGGATTGGGCTTCCGGTTCTCTCTAATAACTACTTTGACTTCATACTTTAAATGTCTCTGTCTAAACTCTGAAATCGTATTTAGTTTTGATAGGCCTTGTTTCCTGTTTCGGATTTGGTTTTAGATTCCTTATTTGAACTGTATACTTTTAATATCTGTTTAAACTCTGAACTTTTATTTAGTATTTTTCCTAGAAATAGAAGTAGATCGGTTCGCCTATCGTCCGCTTCATCTTTTGAACAGGCTTGGAGGTATATCCTTTGGTTCCTGTTTAAGATCTGGTTTTTCGTTCTTCCTTTTTCTCACTCTCTTTTACTCCCAATAGTTCCATACGTCTTAATGGCATTGTCATTTTTTGGGGGGTGAATCGGTTAAAGAAAAACTAGAAAACTAAATAATGATATAATCTAACTGATATCTTTATCAAAAGCTAAAACTGAAAAGGATGGAATGAAGCCCTCAACAATATCATAAAGAACAGTGACAGTGAACGAGAGATTTCGAATTTGAAATCTCTTTTGCTAAATATTATATAAAAAAAAAATAAAAGTAAAATTTCCGTCAAAAAATACTGAATGTTTTGTTCATGCGATGAAGGGGTTTAGTCCAGGAGAGTCACCTTCTCCGTCCAGCTCTCATTGTCTTGGTAGAACATCGGATCATCCTCCAGGACCAGATTAATCTGCTGGATGTCCTAGTGGGCGACGTCCTTCCAACGGGCGCCGCGAGGTCGTTTACACTTTGCAGATGGTGGATCGAAATGGTAGATGAAAAACGTCGTCGCAGAACGTGACCGAGTCAGCTAAAATGGCGCTAATAGGATGCTCGACTGGCCGTTCATTCGGCGGAGATCTTCATCTGACCGGTTCTTTTTATACGTGAAAAAAATCCACTTAAACATTTATAATTTATATATTTACATATAGAATGACATATGGCCGCGTAACCTTGTGATTAGAACGTCCATTTTCCGACTTTACTTTCACTTCTCGAAGTTATCGATATGGAGAGTGACCGGAACCAATACCAATGGTTGACCCAAGCCTTTTGGATTAAATGGGGCAGCCAGAACAACCCTCGATATTCGTGCTCAGGCCTCAGCTTGCTTGCTTTTTTTTTACAGTGATGTACCTCCTGTACAAGACCCGTGTCCACTCGAGCTAGATGGTTGGGAATTAAGAGACACATCTTATGAAAATATGTGTAGAAGATAACGGTTAAATGCAGACATAAACAGTTTGAGATTGTAGCGATCAAGGAAGCATCCTCTCCGGAGTCGGTTCCACTTGGCAGGGGTTCATGGGAAGAATCTGCTCGAATGGAATGAAAATCTCACCAAAGTAATGCGAAGGGAAGGATGAGGGATTTTCTCTACAATGTGCGTCACATGGTGGGCCATACTGGTGGAGTTCGGATATGAGAGATTATGGGCTCTGTCCAAGAAACCGTATCTTGTCCGTATAAACCACGCGAGGGCTATGTAAATATTGAACAAACACATAGTCTGAGCAAGTGTTTGAAACAGGGATTGGCTAGCCGCTCTAGTAGACAGGTGTTTTTCGATAGACGATACATAGCCATCACACACACACACACACACACACACACACACACACACACACATATATATATATATATATATATATATATATATATATATATATATATATATATATATGTATGTATATCACTACAAGAACCGGCTTCTAATGTTTTGAATAGCTTGGGGATAGAAGTCGTGACTCATGAAGGCAAAATCCGTTGGTATAAGTAGACTTGGTTGAGTGACACGACGGACTTTTGAAGAGCTGGAGCTACGTGAAGTCTCGTTTGTTACTTCTCCGTTGGCCCACTGCGTATGACGCTTGTGTCATATCGTAAGTCTCCGGGTTCGATACTCGGCAGTGGATGCGGCAAAATAGGACGAAATGGCCGTCCAGCGCTTTCTGTTGAAGATTCTTCTTGACTCGAAGAATTAATTATGATTATTCAAATCCCCTCAATTTCTCTCTCTTATATATATATATATATATATATATATATATATATATATATATATATATATATATATATATATAACCAAATGCAATCGTCGTTGGTAAATTTCAAGTATGGTATAATAAAGTTGCCAAATGATATTGCTCAGTACAACATAAAGACTATAAAACATAAAAATAATTAGAAATAAAACCGTACCAACTCAGCTTTCCCCCTCAAAAATAAAGGATCAGCAGGCCGGTTTCAATCATTATTGAAACTGCTGGCCAAAAACTTAAAGGAAAAAATACCTTTTGACTTTGTTAGCCTCAATCACTTATTTGAGTAGAACCTCTAAAAATTGAGAATAAGAAAATGTACAATACAAGCGAATGTTGTTTCAGTTTTTAACAGGGAAAATTTGAATACTGGGAAATTAAGGTAAATATTACCTCTTCAAAGACTATATTGAAACGAAGCATTACTTGGTAAACAAGTAACACACTTTAGTCATTTGTGTTCAAGCATTAGTATAGACAAATATCACCCACAGGTAACTCCAGCATTACATTAGGTAAATCAGGAAAAATGCTTAAATGTTGACAGTTTGAAAGTGGCTGAATTCACGGGCTGCAAAATCAATGTCTCCTTTAAATGTGACGTCACTGGTGAGATTGGACGTAATAAAGCTGCATTTGCAATTTTAAAAAAATAAACTGAGGGATACGGATCGAGAATTTTCAATTTTTACACTCTCTCTAAATTCTGTTTTTATTTCCGGAGTTGTTTTTTCTGTTTTCTTTTTGAATTTGTAGGTCTGATGAATTGGATCGTATTTACGATTCCAATGGAATAAATTATGACCATGGAATATTAGTGTTTAAGCCTTTTTATTATATCCTTACTCTGTCCTGGACATTGAGTTCTACCTGGATTCTTCCTCTTGGAATTTTTAAAAAAAAATATGCATGTATGGGTATTTATATATTTTTATATGTATGTATATTTACCACTAATATATATATATATATATATATATATATATATATATATATATATATATATATATATATATATATATATATATATATATATATATATATATATATATATATATATATATATATATATATATATATATATATATATAATATATTTAAAATATAATAATAAATTACAAAACGTTATTATTATTATTTGAAAGTATAGCAATATATTGGCACATTGATGACGATCTGTTTACTCCGACATCCAGTGGAATATATATATATATATATATCCCGCGGAGCTATGTAAAGTACCAGGTTGGAAACTGGCGCGGATAAGCTGCCCTTGATGAGGGTGAAAGGAGTCTCTCAGCGCTTTGGTTAGCAATCATTTTACTGAGTGTTTCACGATAAAAAGACATCAGATGGGAAGGAAAATTCATGACCGCTTAAGCTGGTCATTTTATTATATGTATCTGTCTAGAGGCGTGTACTAGCTGCTATTGACAGTGATCCAGTTTTTTAAACTCCGCGATAAGAGCACATAAGGACTGTCGTTCGGCGTTTCCGTGGCAAGTCTTTTGCACCGTTACTTTTTTTATCGACAGATCCAAAAAGTGTGGATGGTCCGACACAAGCCTTCACCACTTGAAACAAATCATTGTGTTGGTTTTCTGGCAGCTATATCTAATTAGTTCCACCCTCCAGGACAACAACTCAGCCCCAGAAAGAAAAAAAAGCTCTGGTCACATTGGAGCTAAAGACGTACAATATTGATATAGCTGCACTGAGAAGTAACCATCAGTTGACTACATGAAACCAGAAAGCTAAATAAGACATCTAACAGTGTTCATGCTGCACTTGGATACAATATATTCTCCTGTACTGTTTGTGGTCTTTTGTGCAATTCTCTAGCCGGTCTCAAAAGTCATGCCCGTCATAGGCATGTAGATAATTAGTTCGTGGTCGTCGGAACCTCATACGTTGTACTCAACGGGAGAGTCCATCGTATATATATATATATATATATATATATATATATATTTGCATATGGAATAAGAATGGAAATTGGAAAAAATCCTAGTTTTTGCAGAGGCGATTAGTCTTCCGACTTTATGAAAGCAATGAAAGCGAAATGTTTCTGTTGTTTCACAAGGCCGAAAATGTGAGGGAGCAATGGGCTGAGGCTGGTCATCACTTACCTAACCAGATTAACGACCCATTCACTCATTACAATTTGCACATCCACTAAAAATACTTATCCAGCATCATTCAATCCTCTATATACCACATACCGCATTCTGTCAGGGAACTTACAGAAACACCCTAGGCCATAAAAATTAACAATTATAAAATTCTGTATATAAAATCTGTCGATGATATGTAATGAGGCCCGGGGGGGGGATAAACGTCAAAATAGACTAAAATATCAAAACACATAATAAAAGGATAACTGGTGTTAGTTGGGCCCGCCAAAACCTCAAAAGAATTAAAAGAAGCCGCTGTAATTCTGTCTTTAGAAAAAAATCAAAAATCTCTCTCAAAGGCCATGAGAAACGAAAAAAAGCTGACCCAGTCGAGATGGAAAAAAGAGGGCCCAAAAACAAACTGGGAAGGTTAGAAATCGCGACTTGGATCATAACCAAAGAATCAGCCAGGAACGACACTTATATTAACTAAGTAAAAGAGTTTCACCTAACCAGGGGATGGCACCACAGGAAACCACCCCGATGTGAGACTTAAAAAAGAAAAGCATCGCTTGTCCTTTTTTGTTGTCATAGTTACATTAAATCCCAAATTTAAAAAAATAGAGACGCTAAATCGTATGCCTCTTTCTGGCTAATGGTAACTTATTTCTTTCATTCTCATACCAATTTGTCTCTTCCAGAGAATTATTCTGGGAAATTTTACAATATATGCATGTGTATATGAGTGTATTTCTCTGTTTCATTAAAATTAAAAATGTTAGGTTGTTTGTGTGTGTTTTTTGCATATATGAAAAAAAAATAGCATTTGAACATAGTTTGTGTAGAAACTGTTCAAAAGATCAACTCGATTTCCAAGGATTGTGATTATGCTATTACAAATGGTGTATAAGTTGTAGGCAGATAGATATATAACTTCAATTGTTTTTTTACGGCTACAGGCGTATATTAACTTTGTCATAAGTGATGCTCATGAAAAAAATAGCAACATTATCAAGTATGAATAACTACATAATATACTTAAAGCATACATATACTTTTAGGCATTCATATATTTTTAAGCATACTTATTCTTAATTGCATTATTCGTTAATTAAAAATATGACTACCTCCCAACAACTTTAAAATGGCGCAAATAAAAAACTTCAAAATGTCTAGTAAAAGGGCTCGAAATGAACAATTATTTCCGCGATTTCTACCCACCTTGAGTCTAAACGAGAACATTCGAGGTCCAACACGAGAAAACACAATAAAATATTAATAGAATAACCTTATCAGGCATTTTAATGAAACATGTACTAGTGTGATTACTGTCCAAATATTCAATTATATATGTATATATACACATGTCTATGTCTCAATGTGTGTATGTGTGTATGCGCATATGTGTTTGCCACCTTCGTCTGATTTTGGCTGATGAAGCACAGACCAGCTGATCTTGCACTTTAAGTTAACGTTGAGGCTTCAGTGATGTTGTTTCTAAATAAGCAGGCCGGTCTGTTTAAGCACAGGTCAATGCTTCATACGCAAATGCATCACTATCAAGACATTCACTGCTGATTTTTTTAAAAATCAGGCCACAAAGGAATAGTTGGCAACAATATTAGCTGATCTGGCTTTGTGCCTTTTCTTTTCTATTTCTTTATACTAACTATCTTCGTTTCTTTTTACTTCTTTCTTCCATTCTTTCTTTCTTCCATTCTTTGTTTGTTTGTTTCTTTCTTTCTTTTATTCTCTATTTCTTTCTTTCATTCTCTTTTTCTTTCTTCCATTCTATCTTTCTTTCTTTCTTTCTTCCATTCTTTGTTTGTTTGTTTCTGTCTTTCTTTTTCTTTGTTTGTTTGTTTCTTTTATTCTCTATTTCTTTCTTCCATTCTTTCTTTCTTCCATTCTTTCTTTCTTCCATTCTCTCTTTCTTTCTTCCATTCTATCTTTCTTTCTTTCTTTCTTTCTTCCATTCTTTGTTTGTTTGTTTGTTTCTTTCTTTCTTTTATTCTCTATTTATTTCTTCCATTCTTTCTTTCTTTCTTTCTTTCTTTCTTTCTTTCTTTCTTTCTTTCTTTCTTCCATTTTCTCTTTCTTTCTTCCATTCATTGTTTCTTTCTTCCATAATTTGTTTGTTTGTTTGTTTCTTTTATTCTCTATTTCTTTCTTCCATTCTTTCTTTCTTTCTTTCTTTCTTTCTTTCTTTCTTTCTTTCTTTCTTTCTATGTACATATCTGATTTTCTTCCAATCTATGTATCTATTTATCTTTCAATTTTCTATTTTCGTTTTTCTACATAGAAATGTCAGTTTTCTATCATTCTCTACCTCTCTCTCTCTCTCTCTCTCTCTATATATATATATATATATATATATATATATATATATATATATATATATATATATATATATGTGTGTGTGTGTGTGTGCGTTAAGTGATGAAGAGAAATAGAGAATGAAACGATTTTAATAGTGACATATTCATATAGTATGAGATCGTCATTTCGAATGTGTCAGAATTGATTAAAAAAATATGTTTTCCTTTAAGAAAATTGAATGAATCAGCCGACACTATATAACAATACTAAAACTGGCTTAAAAAGGGTCAGGTCACAGTTTTAGGCTGAACATTTTCTTCTCTAAAATCACAAAAATGTTCCATGTTTACCGTTGCATATTCATAGTACAGAAATGAAGAAAAATATATTGAATGCGTCATTAAACTTGAAGAGTTGCCATTCTTTAATCGAAGTTAAAGGGTAAATATCTGCAAAAAAATTGACTTCAGATATCGAACAGAACTTACGGTGTTGGATTTTCTTCAGTAAATGTTAAAATCCTAATAAAAACGACTTTTTCATAATCCTTAATAAAAAGCGCAGAAAAGTAATTCTTGTTTAAAATTCGGAAAGTAAGTATTACCACTTTTTATGCGTAACATTAATAATGGCACATTTATCGACGATTTTTAAAACTTTTTTTTTATATCGGATAAGACTTCACTGTCTTGTACGTTTATTTCTTTTATCTTATGACAATAAGGAATCGTTATCTCAGAATTTTAAAAGTAAAAGGAATGAACGAAAATCCACTAACGTAAATAATGTGATCAAAACAATAAAGATGATGATACAATTTCGAATGGTATCACAAGTAATTTTTTATTTATTGCCTTGATGGTAATAAATAATAGTCTGGATTTAATGTGGTTTCTAATATTAAAGAAATTCTTTAAACAAAATAGAAAAAAATGGTAATTTTTGTTAGTTTTTATTTTATTTTATTTTCGCATGTTTGTGTATGTATTTTGTATGCATTGCATGTTACGCTTGATGCAAAAAACATTTCGTTTTTACCAGTGTTAATTTTCCTAATGTGTTTATTTTATGTTTTTTTTATGTAGGATATTGAATTTATTATCCATGATATGTTTTGATTTCTCTTATGTGTTTATGTCTGTCAGAAATTAGATTGCTTAAATGAATAAATGTTATAAAAGCAAAAAAAAAATAGAGAAATATCCATTTAATTTTTTTTTTACATGGAGTAGCACATGGCAAAAAGAAAATACATTTAATTGGATAGCTATCAAATAACTTGTCATATCCAATAAGCCTGCAGAAATCGAACGATTTTATATAAATAATTGTGAGGTTAATGAAGTCTGAATTCCATGAACAATCATAAATGCTTTCGAAGCCATAAAGGACCGTTAAAATATATAACCAAATAAACCATTTAGGCAGATTTCGAAAACTTATTTGGCCGAGAGTTTGCTTAAGAGTTAAAACAACTAGCAGAATTTAATTTAAAGTTAGTTTAATTCTGAATGATGAAGAACAACCATAAAAGACTGGAATATTAACAGTGCTTAAAAGGATAAGAGAATTTAAAATACACTCTGTATAATTCTAAATGATTTTGAAGCCTTATAAATTTATTTAAAAATTAAATAGTTTCAAGTGTTTATCTCAACTGAAAACACTTAATAAAAACCTTAGCATCGTAATAAACATCCATTATCAATGCACACACTATGTATAAATACATTCCATCTTTCTCTAGGAATAGCAAAGTTTAAATTCAATATTTGTCAATGGATATTCAATAGTTGTCACCAATATGTAGAAAGTGTGTTTAATAAGTGATGTAATGGAATAACCAATCACCCTTATGAATGATTACACTATAGGTAGTAAGTACCTATAAAGTCAACCGTCTACGGGAGACTCGCTGAGGAGTGAACATAGAGAGTTTTTAATGACTGTCCTTTTTTTGCTACCCTAGCTTTTTAGTCAGATTTTCTGTTATTATTACAGAAATAAATAAAGAAATGAAGATAGAGATTAGAGTTGTATTTTGATGCCGGTTAGGCATCAGGATATTGTTCTTCCTGGGCTGAACTTGGGCAACCCATCCCTAAAATTAGGCTACTGTAGGTTTTGTTTTTGCTTCTTTAGTTTTTTCTTCTTTTTTTCCCAGTAAACTTAGCTAGGGCGTGTTTGCTCATTGGCCCCATTTTTCTTTAGTTTAAATCCCCATCCCCTCCCTGTGACGTCGTCCCCCGGTCGCGGCGCCGACTGTGACGTTCTATCCTGATCTACCACTGCGCCAGTTGTGACGTCCCCAAACAGCACCAATTGTGACGTCCTCGCCGCGGCGCCAGCTGTTCGCTCCTCGCTGCTCCGTTCGGGTGTCGCTGCTCCAAACGTGACGTCCGCCTGTCGCGTCAGTCGTGTTGTCTCGTCCTGTGACGACCAATTTGCTTGGTATCGGTCGCGGCACCCAAATGTGACGTTCTAACCTTTTGGTGATTCGGGTGGGAATCTGGTTAGATTTGATATCAGCCTCGTCGTTCCCAACTCGCTTCCAACGCCTGGTTACCAAGGTAACTGCATTGAACTCCAGTCTGCCTACCCACGTTGTGAATTGATCTTAGACAGACGAGATCAAACAGTGGTTGGGGGCCGTAATGCAAACTGAGTTCAACGGGGTGATACTACACAAATATGCATAAAAGAAAATAAAATGAAAACTCAAAAGTTCAAAGTATCAAAAAAAAGGTAACAAACTTTATGTCTAGTTGTTCGATACATAGGACTGCATCTATCTCCCGACCCGTTCTATGGATTGTGACACGTCGTTTTCCGTTAGGCAAGTTTTAACGCTTCAAGTTGTTTGCTCTCTAAGAAATTGGCGTTTCGGTGTGTCTTTGGACGAAAGTCGAAAAAAAACTTATTTCGGTGGTCTGGTTCTAAGTCGCTCTTCAAAATAATTGTTCTTGGGTTGAAGAGGAGTCCGGAATTTGCGTGAATCTTGGTCAGCTGAACTCGAGGGAACTGCTGGAACTCAACTCTGAAACTCAACTCTCCGCTGGAGCCGAACTGATTTCTGTCTGTTGGGGCCTCGCTTTTATTGACGCCGACCAAAACCGGGGTGGGTCTGTCGGCGTCGGGGGTTCCTCGATAATTCTAAATACATATCCACCTCTTTTATTTCTGGTTAGGGATTTTCCACTCTTTTTCCATTTTTGGGAAGCTTTCCTTACTCCCACTTTCTCCCCATACTTCAGAGGGCGTGAACTGCCCTCCCCACTTCTTCGTAGCAGCTTCTCATACTTATACTCTGGACGAGGCGTCGACAACCTCCTTCGTGCGTCACGTGATCACCACTCAACCAATGAGGTCTTAGTCGGGTATCTTTCTCCTCCTTCGTGCGTCATGTGATCACCACTTGACCAATGATGTCTTAGTCGGGCGTGAACAATCCGCGGCTTTGTTTCAGGGAAAATAAAAAAAAACTTGCTTAACTAAAAAAAAAAATTATCTCTTCTCTTTCCCTTTTCTTCCGTTTTAATCGCCGTTATCATTTTTCTAGCCGCAAACGGACAATATGACAACTCTTGTTCTACACGTGGTTTTTGTCAGGTATTTTATCGCTAATTATCAAAATGGGTGGTCTTCTTAACACGGCCTCAAAAAAAGAAATATCCCTAAGTTTTCAGTCAGTCTGTCGCCTCAAGGAAAAAAAACACTTCTGGGTCCCCATTCATTTTCCTTCGGTACATATTTCTGATAACATAATTTTATTATCGCCATCCAATGTTGTTTCGTCGAAAAAAATTCGGTCAGAACACGGCTTGTGTGGCTTTTTAATTTTTCATATCTGTCCAAAGTCCTGTTTACACCTGTGTGTTTGTCAATTATCAAAATAACGTTTTCAATTGAATTTTTCGTTGGCCAGTCGAGTGTTTGCCGTTTTGTTTACGTACTTCTAGATAACACAGCCGTTATCAAAACACATCTGTTTCTTTCTTTCTTTCCTTTTTTTTTTACTCAGAATTTCCCTGTCATTGTAATGACACCCTTTCGCCATTTGGTTACTTATCAATATATTCATTGTCTCTTAGCCGTGTGTGTGTTCTGCTGATCCCCACGATTCGTCTCGCCTTTCTTTCTGCCTTCTTTTCTTTCTTTTCCTTTCTCTGCCTCATAAATGGTGCCACACCCGCGTTAGGTGTCAGTGATATCAGTTCTCTGGTGGATGCGGGGCGCCTTTCGTTTCGCATGTGTGTTTTTCGTATTTATTCTTGTGTCAGAATAAGTGCCTGTCTGTGTGAGTGCTTGGGATGGATGAATGTTTCTACATTATTATAGTCCCGCATCGATTTGGAAACTGATATTTCTGTCATATTTAAGGTGTGTGGGGAGTTTTATTACTAAGATGATTTTGTTTAGTTTTTTGTAAATAATTTTATATTCATATTGTACATACACATTGGCGATTTTTTTTAACTTGTTTTTATCCCTCCCCCAGACAACGATTTGTACATATGGGGACTATATAGAATTTCATTGAGACAATGAGGTATTATGGTGGATGTAGTAAGAAACGTAAATAAGAATGTGTTGTTTTGGTGCTAGGATTATTGTTTGTGTATTTGCTCAGTGGTTGTGGCTAGCTAAGTTTTAAATTAAGACAAATGATGACCATCCTTCTTTTCTCGCCCCCTTTTTAGGCCTTGTGTCACATTTTCTGTGTATTTCTACAGAAATAAATATAGGAGTGAAGATAGAGACGACGTAAGCACGTCCTACCTTCCAATTAGTGGCACTCACTACCAGATTGACCTGTGTGTATAACTGTACCGTATTTCATACTGTACTTGTTTTATACAATAAACCTTTCTTCTAGTATCCACTTGGTGTTATGTGTTTATTCACTTATT